CTGAAAAACACATTCTGGCTTCTGAGCAATTCACATCATGATTTGTGAAAAAATCAATCCAGCAACATGCCAGTCCAAGCTTCAAAATGAAGTGCTCCCAAAAGAGTAGAGCAGCCTGTATTTGCCAGAAAACTCAGATACCAGATTTACTGTCTTTAAGGGAAAATACTAAGACTAATTTGTTTATTGAGACAGAAGTAAATACTCCTTTAAAAGCTGAAAACAGACTTCTGAGCTATTACCCAACATAATGTGCTCTTCAGGGATGGTCTGAAGTGAAGTCTCCTAGCCTGCTTCCTGACTGCTTAGCTCTGGTGAGCCCTCATGCTCCTATTTTAGCATAAAATAGGTCTTGGCATAAACTTTTTAAAAGAAGTCTATGTAAATGTGTCAGTAGAGAATCTCCATAAATAAGCTATAAAATACTATCCTGCCCTTGTAATCTACAGCTTGTTATGTGTGATATGGATAATTCGTGCCTATAAAGATATATATATAGATATAATATGTCATACTGCCACGAAATATTTGCATAAAGTTTTAAGCACGCGAATCAAAGCCAGGGGATTGTCTCACACATGTCGAAACCACCGCTGACAAGAGGGAGGAGGACTTCATTGGCAAACAAATAAACGTGGCTCATTGGGTCATTCCCCAAGGTGATCCAAGGAACTCCCAAGTGATGATTGTCTTGATAACTATCTAAAATTGAGATAGCTGGAGCTACTGGAAAGATACATTTCAATGCCAAGTTCCAATAACTCAATCGTGAACATATACATTGCTCTCTGGACATGGTTTTGTTCAACTCAACGTAGAGAAAAGAATCTCCATGAATATGTGGGTCGATGAAAGGAAAGAAAAGCCTGATTGCCGGGAACTCTGCCTCAGGTGGAATAAACTGTATAAAAACTGCTTGAATAGGACCCTGGGCTTGGCACTGTCCTTTTTATTGTGGCTGTCTTAGACTGAATTTTGATACCTGAATAAAAACTATTTTTAATAATTATCAATTTGGCTCAATCACTTTTACCTATAACAAGCTATATGTACACTGACATTTGTAGTCTACTTCATTTTAAATAGATTTTTATACCCTAGCCCGCATTAAGCTCCTTGGTCCAAATACATTTCTGAACAAAACTCTGATGCTTGCAATGTCAACTCAGATAAGTATGTAATTTCATAAAAATTATCCATTGAATTGAGAAGCAAAAATTCCTCTGTCTTGCACAACTAAGGCCCTTCTAGGCCCTCACCTTATCATTCATTATGTGTAATTCAGCTTTTATTCAACAAAAAATTGAAACTTAATCAAGTAATGGAACATCACACATATTAATATCAATATTAATATTAATAATAAAAATAATTTATATGTATGTTGGTTATAATTTCCACCAATGTAATATTGTTATATTTGGTTAAAGGAAATATGATTTGACATGTATAATATTTTGTTATTGCAAAGCACACTTACCAGCATTGTGAGCTGCCCCCTCCACATATTGGTTGCACCAAAACTGGTTTTCTTTGACAAAGCCTCATTTGCAATTTAATACATGTGGCTTGCCGGGAGATGGGCTATTCCAAAAGGTGATGATATTGGAATGCCTGGGAGCTAATCATCCTGTTAATGATGATTTGGGTTTGCTGGAGTCCTCCGGGCTGATACATCTGAATGCCACAGTTCCTGGTTCCCATAACTCCGTCAGGGAGGATTGTCCATGCCTGGACTTGGATTTTTCAACCTCAGCTCCAAGGAAAGAACTTTACGAATTTGTGGGATTTTGAATGGAAAGAAAATGTGAATGGCTGAAATCCTGTCCTCGGACAGAAAATTTCCTATAAGAACGGCAGGGTCCAGGAGGGTGGTGTGGGTGTCCAGGGGAACCTCTGCCGAGAGGCGTCCTTCCCATCCACACACAATGCCAATTCTGGGCTCGGCACTGTCCTTTTCCCTTGTGGCTGGCTAGATAGAATTAGATACTAAATAAAATTTTTATTTTTCATTTTTATTTAGCTGGACTAATTTTTATCTATGATGATGATGATGATGATGATGATGATGATGATGATGATACTTCCTGGGCATACAATTAATTATTTAAGAGTGAAGTCCAAAATGTCAGAACTTGAAAAATCTCATGATCTGGGAAAAGGGGTAATTTTTTGCTATGATTATGCTTTTTCACTGGCTACAACACTTACATCAGATGTATATAATTGATGCCAGACTTTTCACACATTTTAAGCAGGTAGAGAAGGAACAATTATTTCCAAGAAAGCTTTTTGTTCCTTGCATTTGTTGCTTGCATTTTATTTTTTTTCTCCTCATCTGTGATTCAGCTGTATTGATGTACTTTATGAGCATCTTCCTGGCTGTACCCAGTTTGCACTCAATTATTTAGTGGCACACAGAAATAAGACAAGCCTCTCCTGCACTGTCTACTTTGTTGTCTATCAATCCAGCAGCTGCAAAATTAGATAGGCAGGCACACTGACCACAAACATAGAGAAAATAGCCATGATTAATTTAGCTGCTGCTGAGCTCTCTGAGACAATCTGTTGCATCTTCCTTCTGTTTTTTGAGGGGTTGATCAGACTAATGATGGTCAGTTAACCAAGCAATGTTTTTCCTTAAGTCAGTAACCAAATCAGAGGGTCGAGCTCGAGGAAGGATAAAAGCTGGGACAGATGTGGCAATGCGAAGCATCTGGCTTTGTAGGAACAGTGAAGTCACCACTCACCCCTGGGAGTACTTCACAACCCCAAGGTCATCCATTTCCTCTGGTTATGCTGCCTTCAGCACCACGTGCACCACCTTTCTTTTACATACATATAAGAGGCTGTGAGTTTTACAGGACACCATTAGCCTAGCAACCATACCTCAGACATAAAATCTTTCTAGCATAACAATGCTACAATTAGCCGAGTATAACTTAGGTACTAGACAGAAACAACAGTTCTAAGGTATTATCTTTATATATAGTTAAGCTAGTGTTACAAATTCAAATTCAGAATACTTAATTTTGGGCACACCATCTCCTAATAGCTCTTCACAGGATTAGTAAGTGGAGAACGTCAGTGGTTACATATGCTGCATATCTGCAAAGAAACCTGTAACAAATACGCAACCTTGAGTGGACTAAAAGTCTTAATGTGAATACTGCAGACAGAATCTTCACAGTTATTTCTCAGTAACAGGGTTTGTTCAAAGCCTGACAACCTGTTCTGGATTTTGATCTCAGGAATAATCAAGAATTATATTTTTCTAGTCTAGATAATTCAACATCTGCCTCTGTTTTCTATCTGTCATTTCCTTTTTTGTTCCTGCCCTTGTGCTCCTCTCTTTCTTCCTCCCTCTCTTCCTTATTCTTTTCTTTTATCTTCTATCTGTAAGTATGCTTTTTATGTCTATAAGCAGAAAACTGGTATACAAGGAAGTGCTATTATTATCATAATTATTATTATTGCTACAACTACTACTACTACTACTACTACTACTACTACTACTACTTCTACTACTACTACTACTATTATTACTACCACTGAAATGGCCACCAAAAAATTAATGCTGTAAGCCAAAAAAATTCACTCTGCTAGTCACTGATCAGAACTGTTATAGCAATTCACTTTAGGGCACTATCCTGGAGTTCCTAGAAATGGTGATGTGAACCAACTCAAATCTTTTATAAGAAAGATTAAGTTATAAAATTGAAGCATGTCTGCCCAGTCAATTTGTGACAAAATCCTCCAGAAATTAATCACAGTTTTTTTCAATTTGCTTTTGGAACAGAGATTTTTGGAATTCACTTAAATTAGCAAAATGAATTAAGCATTTATTTTCTAGCTTGTAGAGTTATGTGTTGAATTTTAACCTTTTACTTAAGAAACCTCTGCCAAAGTACAAAAGGGCATAAGAAAATGCAAATTACTAAAGCTTCTTGCATAAAGAACAATACCAAAAAAGGATGGAAAATACAAAGAAACCAGATAAAGAAGCTCCTCTGTCTCCAGGCCTACCAAGACTGACAGACGGTACTCAGATAAGCGCCAAAGGACCAAAAGCACACACACAGAGAGGAAGAGTTCAAAAGTTCAACCATGAGGAAGACCATGATCTTCAACCTAAGAGACCACCAGAGACCCCTGCAGGACCACCACAGAAAACCACGCGTGCCTAGAAGGGCGTGGACCTCTTTAGCATGAGAGGAGAAGACAGACAGGGCCAGGGGTTGAATATGCATGGAGAAGTTGTGCAATGTACTGCACATGGAACACCTTTGGGAATAAAAGTTTGGGTTAGACTAAGGCTCAGGGCACAAGTCTTGGAGAGCAATCTCACTTGTGTCGGGTGCTGGCAATACATACTCACTTCATAACTACCTCAAACTGTGGAGTCTATTTATTCTACATATCGCTTCACTTTTTCTTCAAAAATGCTTCTGCAAAAGCAGCCTCATTGATCTCCAAGAAACTGTTGTGCTCTTCAAGAGAATACAAACATATGTTCAAGGGATAGCCTTGCTACTGCAGAACATGAGCCTCAGAGACAAGCTGCTTTCCTTTAATGTCATGTATCTCCACAGTAAGACAATAGCCCTCATGATACTTTTGCAACTCTACAGCGTCTTTAAAACACAATCCCAGGGATAGTTGCATAATTATGCCTTCTTCTCCTTTCTGTAGTTGCATGAAGAAGAATTGCTGTCATGATATGCCTAATGATGACTGAAAAATAGTAATATCCATATCCTACTAGCTGGATTCTATGCTGTCAGAGGAAATGTAGAGGAATTTACAAATGGGAACAACATTAATCACTTAAATTAATTAACACTTTCATTAATCACTTTAAATGCAAAAATATTGAGTAAAGCAAAAAAAAAGTCAGAATGATATCACTTTTGAGTCTGGATAACAGAGATCAGATTTATTACACCTTTCAACAGGCACATAAAAGTCTTGATCAAAACAGTGTATTGAACTCAACATACCAGCTCCTTCTTTTTCATGCACTCCATGAGGATAATGAAGAGGTGCTGTGCCTGGGTTCGGGTGTATGTGAAAGTCTTCTGGATGGTAACTAGCAACTGGTCCCTCAAAGACTCGTTGATAAGTCTGAAATCCAAAATGAAAAGATTATGTAAAAAAATAGACATGAGTGAACACTTTAACTTCATTTAACTTCATTTTTGGTGACAAAGATAAAAAAATAAGAGTCAACAGATCACTGAAGGTTGTTTTGGGCAGGTTTCAAGATCAAGAATTGCTGAAACCATAACCACTAAATTGTAAAATACTGTTCTAGGAGAAAATGTTGATTGTGCTGAGGTTCCTCATCCATAAAGTTTTCATATCAGTTCCCACATATTGCATGACAGAAGGTCATTCAAACTATCAGCTCAGTGGGATTTCCTAACAAGAACCACACTAATAGTCTGAATTTGAGGGAGACCAACAATTTTAAGTGAACTGAAGACTTCTTCCTATCAGTGAATTAGAAAAGTTCAACTCATAGTTACTTTTATGAAACTGGGAACGTTTATGTTGTCAGTGAATTTGGTTTTAGTTTGAATATGTCAACTCACCCTACTGATGCTATACAGGACTTCACAAGCAAACAAACAAATTTCTCTGTTCCTCACTCCACTCAAAGAAAACATTTTGATTTTGGCTATGTTGATCTTCCTGAAGCTCAAGAGAACCCATTTAATATTCCTTCTCAGTGCTAAGGTCAGCACTTGCAAAAAGTGGCCCAACAGCAGAAACAAATAGTAATAGTATATGAAATACAACTGCTACCTACATCTTCATAACAAAACCCCTATTTCTCAGGACTTTTCTGGGGGAAACATTTCAGTTCTCAATGTCAAAATTACAAAATAGTGGGCTTTAAATTAGAACATGTATCCTTTGATGCTTCTATACTAGACTAGTTTTCTCACCTAAAAATTATATCTCAGTGTTTCAAATTAGCTAAGTTGGAATATTTTATGGGATAAGTCATCCAGTGGAGTGAAAATCAGAGAATCTTCATGTCTCATACTTTAGGCCAGAAGATTAAAAAAAAATTTAGCCCTGTAGCAACTGCAGAGAAATACCAGGAGCAGCAGGTATCTAAAAGCTATTGTTAGCTTAAGGGCAGCTGCTTTGGGAGAAACACTTGACTGAATCCTTCATTTTTGCATACTATTGGCTAAAGGCACCTGCACTACTCCACAGTGAAGAGGCACAAATGAGACTGCAGGATACTTGCTACACCACTGAATTTCAAATCTGATTTCATTATTTAGTCTTTATACCTGCAGCAAATATGTTAGAAGAGACAACAAATAGGAATGGGAAAAAGGTGCATGGAAGTATGTAGAAGATCTGGTATACGGAATACATGTGCTCTCTTCCACGTTAATTTGATTTTGGCAGTAAATATTCCTGTTGAATAGAACTTTGACTTCAAAAAGAAGCCTGGAAGACATATGTCAATGTGTTCTGATTAAAATGAGTTTACATGGGATTTTCAACCATGCTGTGTGGATGGATTGCTGCTCTTTATATTCCTGGCTTCTTCTGTTGTCTTCTACTTTATCACAAACTCCCTCTAAGTGGTAAGTCTACCTCTGCACTTCTGGTTTTCATCTAGAAGAAGTTTGGCCCCTGGATGTGCTATTTCCTGGGATACTGGAGAGGCAGCAACCCTGCATCTACTACTCATACATTAGGTAGCATGTAAGCATACTCCTTCCCTGCAGCATGACCCACCTCCTTCACAAAAAGGCAATACATGATGGGCTAAAACTTCCAGCCCTCTTGGACAACACTGGAGCTGGCAGCAGAGGACTCGCTGTATGGGAATTATAAGAGACATAATCTGACCTCCTGTAGAGGAGCAAAGATGTTGCAAGCACATGGAGACGTGAAACAAGATGTCAAGGATACAGGTAGAAATGTAGGACTAAAGAGAAACAGCTTGAAAAGACTGATACCCGGACAAGCACTAATATACTTTGAGTTGCAGGCTAGTAGGTAATATAAATATAAATTCTGATTATTCTGATTTTAGGCTCTTGGAAAAAGGTGTTGGAAATTTGCTTTAATCAAATTTAAACAAAATGGACCTATCAATTTATTTATAAGTGGATCAGAACTATGCAATTTTCCATCCTTTAAATGAAGAAAGAAAAAAGATGTTATTCACAATGAACAAGTTTCCTAAAAACATAACCTGGAGAAGCTAAAGAGATTCATATAAATATCTAATTTCTTTGGAAACTATAATGAAAGTGAAATATAGGAAAGAGCAGGAAAATTATATGAAAAAATACATGGACTAGGAAGATTCTCAAATTTAAAATCTCAGAAAACATTTCCAAAGTTTCTGGGATATAAACCATCCCATTTTCTTGTAATAATTTAATTTTCCTTAAAAAAATATGTAGAATCCAAATCTGAAATTTCATTTCAAAAATTACCTTTCTTTCAGGCCAACACACACAGAAAGTAAGAGAAAGTTGCATTAAAGTGAAAGCAGAATTGTGTCCTGAGCAATCATTACTTTTCTTTCTTGAATTAAAGTTCTCAAAGACTCTGTAATAGCATTAGTTCAAGCAGCAGGAAAAGCAAATTTCAGGTGAAAGATACAGAATTTTAAAAACCCAAAAAATCAAGAAGTGCTTCCTCAACTACTGGGTAAAACATCTGTTGAAGTACTGCTGCTCAGAAACTTCCTGTAGTCATAATTTGATTTTTGCAGTTTTCTACCCTCACTAAATGTTTTTCTTTAACATCTCCTTGGTCTGCAAATCTACATCAAGCCTATTCAATGTCTTTGTGAGATCAAAAACTTGAAGAGATTATAATCAGCAACATAAACAAAACAGCAATCTTTCCAGTAAAGTAATCATAGATTTGTGTGCACTGAAATCAGTTCTATCAAGAATGTGTCACTTTTATTCCTTAGGAGTCTAAAAATGTTAGATCTGAAATCAAAGTTCCCAATTGTGTAGCCCAGCTGGGACAAACAGAAACTGTTCCGTGCTATTAAAGGCTAAATCTACAAGGCAGACACCAAATCTAAATTGTGTTAAACAAGTAATTTCACAGAGTAGTGTGAGCAAAACAACTGAGACTTGCAAGTGGGGGGATGACTTATCTCCTTTACAAACAGCACTATATTTCTTACACACACGCCTTAAATCCATGCTTTTAAAAATCATGGATGCTTAGTTTTAGATTCAGGAAAAGAGATGGGCCCACTTTACAAGACTGAAACACTACACTTACAACTTCCATCAAAGTCAGCACAGACTGAATATTGTCAGAAGAAGACAGTATTTTTGTCATCTTTCTAGTAGGTTTCAATCCTAAAAATATTTTGCAACATGGTAAAAAAATCCTTTTTGGGGCATTTTGATAGCATAATTCTCTCAATTCCACTTCCTTGACATGGAAAGAATACTGCTCCTTCCTAAACAAAGTGTACCACAGAACAATTGTGTAACCTGTTTTTTTTTTCTTCCTCATATAGTTTGAAACTGTTCTTTCATTCTCTAAATATTTAAGACATGCTTATAATTCACCAGTCCAGGTCTATTCAGTTTTTTTTCTTTCCCAGAGATTCTGGTTTCCTGATGGAATTTAGGTAGCTAATGTCAAAAATCTGTCATCTAAAGTAGAGTTATTTACATTTATTTTCAGAAAAAAATTTACTCATAATTGTTGCCTAAGAGTGTGTGCGTATATTTTATTTGTTTGCTTGTTTGTTTTCAACTTTAGTTTTGACATATCAGATTATCAGAACTGAACTGTATGACTTTCCAGAAAAGTCAAGATCTTAAATTTTAAGAAAAAACCTTTGAATAGGCTCAAGGAGTTAGTCAATAGGACCACTTAGGAAGTGGCTCTCTGGGCAGCAGAGCTGCCCTGGAAAATTGCCCTCAAAGAGTGAAACAGAGCTGCAGATCTCTAAGGACACTTTCTGTACAGCACGAATGAGGTGAAAGAAAGGCAAGGAAGTCCTTTCAGCCCCAGGTGAAAGAAACAGGGCAAGGACGGCAAAAGACCACCACACAGGAGTGGATGCCTGCTGGTTAAACAAAACAAAACAAAACAAAACAAAACAAAACAAAACAAAGCGCCAGAAAATGTATCATCAATGCAAAAGGTTAACCTGGGCAGAGTTTAGGAACACAGCCCAATTATGCAGGATGTGGCGAGGAAAGCCAAGACAAAGGAAGCTGAACTTGGCAAGGGATACATGGAATAACAGGATGGGTTTCTACAGGTATGCCAGTGAGAAAAGGAAGGTTGAAGAAATAATTTGCCCCATCTGGTAAGCAAGGCTTGGAAACTCACAATTGTGGTGGTGTGTCTTTAATTTGATATTTGTTCAATATCTGTTTCCCCCCCCCCGCCCCATCCCTAATCTCCTCCTCTCCGCAGTGTCAGTCTTCCCTAGCTCTCCCCTAACCCCCTCATCTCCAATTTGTCAATCCTCCCTTTCCCTGCCCCTTTCCCTGGAACCTTCCCTGTCATTCCTCCTAGCCCCCTCCTCTGCTTCCAGAGCATTCCCTGTCTGTTTCGTGAGACTCAAAACCCTATTGCTTATTTTGTATTATTTCACTTCCCTGATTCCCCGATAGGTTTGTGATGTGTTAATTCTGCCCTAAACTCCTCCCCTGCTGTTCCCTCATTGGTTGCTGTTCCTACACCCGTCTCCCTGAATTCTTGTATAAATCCTCTGCTCCCCCTCCCGAGGGGGTCTTGGGGCTCACTGAATAAATCCATCTTGTTCACCCCCAAGTCCCGTGTCACCTCCCTCTGTTCCCGCGCCACCGACTGGGACAGAAGAGCTTCGCAGGGGGAGCGGCCGCCCGTTCTCTTCCCTCTCGCCGCCCAGCACGCCACCGCTCGGGGTATCGCGGCGAGGGGAGCGCATGCCGCACTACTACACACAATGATGTACAAAGAAAAGGCTGAGGTATTCGACAACTCACCAAGGACAAGTGCAAAGGCCTGCACTTGGTCTGGAGCAACCCCCAAGAGCAGACAGGCTGGAGGATGAACAGATCAGAAACAGCCCTCTGGAGAAGGACTTGGGGGTCTGCTGTGCGAAGGGCTGG